GATCAGTTAATATGGTTTGTGGATGTTTTCCATTCATTAGCCGTAAGAAACTCTGTAAAATAAATAAACATTAGCAATAAAGCAAGAAAATATTAAAAATAAAGAATTTTGAGAATGAATTGATATTCACCTTTAATGCCCATGAAAAAGAAGAGGCCTTCTCATTTCTTAACACAACGCAACCAAAGAAAATGGTATTTCCATGGTTGTTCACGCCAACCCAAACTCCCAGCGGCATCTCATAGCGATTAAATCGGTAAGTAGTATAAAAAACAACTACATCTCCAAAAAGCTCATAAGCACGAATAGAGTCCCCAAATGCCCAAATGATATTCTCAAGTCTTTGACATGCATCAACTGTGAAATCATATTGGAAATCAACATCTTTGTCTTTCAAACTCTTGCAAATTTTTAATAGCTCCAAAGCATCATATTCAATATTTGTAGAACTTTCTGATTGTATAAAGTTCCTGATATCTTTTTCTGTACAAGGCAATTGGCCTATATCTACACCCTTTTCTAGTTCAAGCACTCTTCGGATTTAACTCATTGAACGTCGAGCTTTTGCAAGAAGTGTAATCGTCTTTTGATCAATAATATCAATATTTCGATAAGCAGGAAGAAATTTCACTTCCTTATCATTCAATAGTTCATGGTTGTGGACATTATCAAAATACACCAACATCCAACGAGTGACTCCATCAATAATTTCTTTAGCAACACACATCTTAGTATTACAATTGCAACTAGAAGATTTTCGATCTCATTTTCGCTCTTTTTCCAAAACCTTTTGAGGACGAGGGATACCGGCTCGATGGCAAACATAATCTCTCCTATAAATTCCCATAGGACCTTCTGCACTTCCAAAGTAGCGATCGCGTCCAACTGGGAAACCAATTTGTTTAGCAAAATTTACATAGCAATTATAAGCTTCGTCATCACTATTGGACACTTTGCCCTTGCACAAATCACTGCTATCCATATCAATATTTTTATGTCTAAGTTCTTCATCTGATCTTTCTGTAATTTCTCCATTAATATAGCATTTACTATCACCGCATGGACAATGACTTCTTGAAACACCTACTGTAAAATCAATTGATGTATTATTAAGAACCTATATTTAAAGCCAACAAAAGTACAAAATTTTATCAACACAGATTGTTTGATTCAGAACAAGGAAAGCATAAACAAATCGAAAAGATAAAAAGAATTACAAAAACTTACACTCTATCATGAACAGCGAAAGATGAGACACAAGAATATTAAATTCTTACCTTCATTACAAGATTCGTCAAGATATTAGCGAGAAAAGTTACTGGAACAAAAAACTCTTTTAAAACTTGGGAAGAGCCATGGCTGGAGGTGGAAAATAGAACGAAAATATTCCCGCCAGAACAGTTCTAATGTGGAAGATGGAGAAATCTAATCTGATGGGTTTAGTTTTAGGAAAATTGAGGTGGCCCTCAAATAATGAGGGCATTTTTGCGAAATCAAATATGCATACAATGCTAAACTACTGCAACTATGTAGTAGTAGGTTAGCATAATCCTATATATATATATATATATATATATATACACAAAAAAAAAAACTTGTATACAATTATGTTAGTTGCATATATTTTGTATGTCGTTTCTACACCCGAAATATAAAATATATAAAATTTGTTTATGTCTTTTTTCTTCGAGTTTGAATCTGAAATTCTAACCAAAACCACCTCGAGCCTTCACCAAATTCTCTCAAAATTGAGATATAAATTCCAAAGGATATTTTCAATCATTTGCAACAACACCCAATCCAAACAAACAACAATTTCGCAAAATTCGATTTTCGAATTCAAACTTTTGAAACTTTTTAATTGTTGTCAATAGAGTTTTTAATGGATTAATATAGACATATGTAACTTGTAATAAGTCTGTCAATTTGATTTTCAGTGGCATAATTGGTTACATGCTTTGCTCTACCGAGGGGCCAGAAATTGACTTCAAGAATCCTATGAACTCTATCGATAAAGATACTACCTTTGTCAAGTCCAAGGGACCTTTGAAGTTCTATAATTCTCCTCGCGGGTTTTTTCGTATAGGGAATTTGGGCGAGGAAGAAGAGGGAGAGAAAATAGGAAAGATTGGATTTTAAAACATTATTTTATAGACAGAATTACATCATATGTCAGTCAGGCCCAATTTCAGAACAAAAAATAGCCCATGTTTTGGAACTTTACCCGGCATAGCCCATTTTGCAGATAATGTATAGCCCGTTTTCATCGGTTAACCTGGCGACAACCTCCTTTATCCTTCTTTTTTCTTTCTTCAACTTTTCACCAAAACCTATATCCAAATGCTTCTTCCTCTTTTAACTGCAGCAGTCATTCTCTCATTCAACCTAGCACGAAGGCCTTTTCCATTACTGTAATAAACATCTCCTCAAGGAGACTAAATCGCTATTTCTATTTGGAGTCCTCTTTTTTTTTTTTTTTTGTGCAATGTGAATTTTTTTAAGACAAAATGCGTTTATCCTCCATTAATAATTTTTTGTTTCTTCTCAAATTGCTGGAAAGAAGTTGAAGAGTTGCAGACATCCTCCATTTTTTTCCTTCAATTTTCAAGGTAAATAGGTCGACGATGAAGTCAGTGAAGTCATCGGAGAATGAAAAAGAGGTCTTGTGTTGTATTCAGACAATTTTCAAGTTCTTCAGATGATGTTCCAATTTTATCTTCTTTTATAAAACAATTCCATCTCCATCTTCTCTCCTCTTTAATTTTCAGATCTAACTTCCTCTGAAAAACTCTCTTTTGATATTTTGATACTGAAATAGAGGTGTAATATTGAACATAAGATGTGTTCTGGTATAAATATTGTATAACCACTATTTATACACACTTATACATTATTGTATAATTGTGTATAAATGTGTATAAATATATATAATTATATATAAATGTGTATATATGTTCATAACATCACTTATCTTCTTCTTCTCTTTCTCTTATTCTTTTGATATACATTATTATACATTCCATATACAGTTTATACATAGTTATACATCATTATACATGTACTGCATATTTATAATCAAATTAATTTTTTTTCATGTTTTCTTCCTTTTTCTGGAATAATTCATGTATAAATCTACTTTCCTTGTTGATTCTCCGCCAAATCACGAACTTGCAACAATTGTTTCTAAATTTTACCATATAAGTAGAATCAGCGAAAAATTGGGGGACAACTTGCAGCAGTAAAGACAAATTGGGGGAGAAATATCAAAATTATACGACGGAAGAATTAGAAAATCTCATGACTTCATCTAAATAAGATAATTGTCCTGATTAAACTCGGTTGCCGAATAAAAAAGCTAGAAAATACTCTTTTTTCAAATATTAGCCGATTATTTTTGGGCTACAGATTTGTAAAGTTATGACTGGGCTATTATGTTGCAAGTTAGATGTGTTTGATTTGTATTTATGTGAAATTATCCCTATTTTATATATGACTGGTAAATTGTATATCAATTTATTAAAACATTAATATTGAGTGAAAATAAATTTGAAAAATAGCATAGATAAGTAAAAGTTTACGGGAAGAAATAATGTAAATATGTAATGGGATTTTGCTTTGTTTCTTTCTTTTTAACACAGCACATTAAGGATTACACTTGCCACTAACACAAAAAATTACTAAAGTACCACAAGCAGAAGGGAAGGAAAAAGTAATATTACAAAAACAATATGAAGACGAGAGGACCACTCAGTAATTTAATAATCAAACTAAGTTTGAAAAAAATCAATAAAGAAATAGGAGTAGTAGTAGTGGTAGAGAAACGTGACATCACGAGCCTATACGTTCGGTGCAATAATAAACACATCATCATACGTTGAGGGTCGTTTGGTTGCCGGTTAGAGTTATGCAGGTATTAGTTATACATGTATTAGTTATGCAGGGATTAGTTATGCAGGGATAAGTAATGCAGGGATTAGTTATGCAGGTATTAGTTATGCAGAGATTATTTTTTTGAATGTTTGGTTTGTTGTATTAGAAATTGATATACATTATATAAATTTTAAAGTAAAATGCTTGTTTACAACTATACCCCTGGCTTTCTTTTGCATTGTTTTTTCTCTCTTTCCATTTATGTAGGAAACAATTTAGTTAGGAACTTTGGGTGTTACTTTCACTTCTTCGTCATACTACTGAACTATGTGAAGTTTAGACATATTTGATTTTCACTTCTTAGTTTTGGTATTTCCATTTTCTAGTGACTTCTCCAGTTTGTTTTTGCTAGTTTGTTCTTTAAAAATGAGAGAAATATAGTTGGCAAGTGAAAGCAAGTGAAACCTGTTGACGGGTTGGCAGAGAAATAAGGAAGCCTTATGTGTAAAGTGATAGAGGTAAATTTGTCATTTCAGTATTTTATCCATGTATTACTAATACATGTATTAGTTATTCCATCTTCTACCCCGCATAAAATAATACACAGATTGACTCATAACTTATACATGTATTATTTATGCATAATTGAAAAATGTCAACCAAACATGGTATTAGTTATGCAAAATTTTATACAAAATAACTATTGCCTACCAAACATGGTATAAGTTATGTTACCCCTTATACATGAATAACCTTTCTTCTAACCAGCTACCAAACGACCTCTGACTGCTTTCTTTGTCTTTCATTGTTTTGTACTAATAAAAAATCACTATCCTTTTTGCACTTTCAGAAAACGTTTGGTAGCAAATTAAATCAAATAGTAATTCGAATTTTGAATTAATTAATCATAATTATGTAATAATTCCTATTTTAAAAACAATGATATGCGTTTTGATTTGGTGCAAATGCTTAATATTTTCAAATCAACACGCACTCTAGTGTCCCATAAGTTTAAAGTTAAAGAAAAAAGCCTATAACTTTTACACGTTTTCCCCTGAGAATTGAGATGTTCATCAAATTTATAAAATCTTTCTTCTGTCCTCTGCTCATTTTCTGTAAGTTACTTTCTTTCAATTCACCTGCATTTTACATTTTACACACACACACACACACAAGAATATTACTTATATGAGTTCATGCATATAGAACAATGTTTGACATTTGACTTCTTATGCATAAGATGGTCCTTTTGCTGTACAATTGCCAAGTTTGGATTTTTATTTTAATTGGTAGATCTGATTTTAATTGGTCCTTCATTGTGTTACCTCAATTCCGGTTTACTTACCTTTCACTGAATTTGATTTTGCTCTGCTTGTTTGGTTGTTTAAGAAATAGTTTAGGCAATCTTGCTTAAATTTTAATTCCCTTAAACAATATTATCTTCTCTTCTGAAAATCTTGATCAGGTGATTCGACAGCTAATTTTTTGTTGTTGTTCTTGATAATTAAATGAATTCTTGTTAGAAGTCAATGTATGTTAGATGAGTTTCTATTTAATGCAAACGATGAATTTTCTGTCAGATTATAGAGAATTCTTATATAGGGATAATGTAATTTGGTTTTGTTTCACCAGGTTGAGTACTACTTTTGAGAGATCAAAATGGAGGGAGGTGTAGATGCTGATGTTTTGCTTGAGTATGTTGAATTTCAGATTTTTCCAAGCCAGGGCAGGTTAGACTTCTGTTTTCTATTAAACTATTTTCAATCATGTTACAATATAGTAGTATTTTGTCTCTGAGCCGAGGGTCTCCCAGAAACAGCCTCTCTACCCCGAAGGGGTAGGGGTAAGGTCTGCGTACAGTCTACCGTCCCCAGACCCCACTAGTGGGATGATTACTAGGTTGATGTTGTTGTTACGATATAGTAGTAGTTCTTTATCTCACCAAAATGTCATAAGGTCCTTCATTGATCTTTGTTTCCTTCTTGTCATCTTGTGTTCCTTGCAATTACATTTTTAAGTGGTTTGATCAATCTTTCACTCATTGTATTCTTTGGTCAAAAGAGAGTGCGGATAAGATCTTAAGACTGACAATTCATTGGCCAAGTGCAACTAACTAAAATGACCTGTTGTGGTCGTATATAGAGTTACTTTGGATCACAAATGAGCTTGTTCAACTAACAAAGATGATTAATGAACTCGACATGGATGCTACTTTGGATCACAAATGAGCTTGTTCAACTAACAAAATGATTAATGAACTTGACATGGAGGCTACATTGGATCACAAATGAGCTTGTTCAACAATTTTTTGAGAATGTTAACGCAGGTATGAGGCACGTATGTGCTATGGCAAAAAGGTAGAGGCAGCATCCTCTGGGCTTCTGGAGCAATTAGTGCTGCATTCTCCCAAAATCAAATCTTTGCACTACAAAGGATCAGATTCCAGTTTCAAATTTAAACCTCTGGGAAATCTTAGCGATGCTAAATGGTTTACGAAATCCACGTTAATCAGGTTTTAGTCAGACAGCATCATTTGCTTCATACTAATTCTTTATTAGTTCTAAGTGTTCGTATTCTCACACTGCAAATCCCTCTTTTTTTTCCCCAAGATTTCTTCGTATTATCAATTCATCAGATATAATTGATGTGGTCAAGGCGATGGTAAATGAAATATCACAGCTTGAAGATGCTCGGAAGTTTCATGTTTCTTTATATTCAAAGGTGCTTTATTTTTTTAACATCCTTTTGCCCCTTCAGTTATTTCATAGAAACATGTGACAAGCAGAATACTAAGCTCCTTTACTCTTTTAGGGTCCCCAAGATCATGTTGGGAGTAGGGAAACAGGTTAGTTTTACTATACTTATAGCAATTTTTACTCTCTTTTTTTCAAAATTATTATTATTATTATTATTTTGTTTTGTATATTATTCGCCTGAGATGAGTTTATATGAAGTAACATGGTGAGTAAGGAATCATATAGCCCACCCCAACTTGTTTGGGACTGAGGTTTAGTTGTTGTTGTTGTTGTTGTCCTTTTCTGCTTTGAATTATGTCCAGACTAGTTGGACTATGTTGGCTATGCAACCTACTCTTCATAGACTGTCCTTCAAAAGAAAAAAGAACCGCAGAGCACGTTACATCCTTCTCTTATTTTCAGCAGGCAACAACTACTCAAATAGGGTGGCATCAACAGTTGATGTAATTTGATCTCTCCCTGTTCCTGAGTCATCCTTTTTTTCTTTTTTCTTTTTTTATTTCTCAGAGATTATTTCTTATATATGATTACATGATGTGAAGCTAACATGATTACTGATTTCTATCCAGGTTGATGATCACCCTTCTTCATCAGATGCCTCCAAGTATGTCCTTGAGACTCTTGAAATTTTAAATTCTGTAATTATTCTACCATCTCCTAAAATCCTCACGGTTAACAGGAATGAATTGTTGCGCGCAATGGACTTGAGGCTCGCTGCACTAGCGGGGGAATTGGCTGCTGTTTTTGACAAAGCTGTTGGCACCAAATGCTCTTTTGAGGATATCACTAACATAGAAAAGTTCTCTTACTATTTTGGAGCTGTTGACTTAAGGTAAGCTAATGGATAGGAAAGGCGCCTGAAGCCAGAAGGGTTTTCTTTTTACATATAACAAAATTATATAGTAGTAATTTGTATGTTCTATCACCATTTCTTTTCATTTCTATAAACTTTTTAGTTTGCTGTTCTACTTTGAGTGATCATATTATAAGGGAAGAAACTATTACCCTTCGATTCAATGGTCAACTAACAGAACTTAATAGTAAGAGGAAATTTGGAAGTGAAGTGCTCCAATTGTGAAGGGGTATTTTTGAATTGTCAATGTGTTGATCGGAGGTCTTCCCAACCTGTTCTAGTGACATAGATTCATTTGGTTGAGAGGAGAGACTTGATTTCCGATTTTGACAATATTATGACTGCTCCCTTTGTAGAATTAAGGCGACTTAGCTACCCTTGCTCATACAAGGAAATTCCATCTTGAAGACCTTTAGTGCTTCTTAGTTTGACCAGTTTAGATTGGAGATTGTTTCTGCACAAATGTTCGTTAAGGAGAGATTGCGAAATTCTCCATCCAAACTCTTCTGAAATAATGTGGAGAGGGGGAAGCGTTCACTTTCTTGGGGCAATAGGACTTTGGAAACTGAAAAATTGAAGCAATGGATGTATTTCTTTTATATGTAGTTTAATTTGTAAATAGGCTCCTTCCACCTATCAATGAGCTGAAATTGAATATTCTAGAACCGAAATATGTGCAACTGGTAATGACCGATGATGTGCTGTCTATTTTAGGAACTGTCTGCAGAAGTTTGTTGCATTGCAGCAGGAAAACATAACTGGTGCTTTTCTTGCTAAAGAACCATCTCTGTCTAACAACGATGTCGGGACTGAGAAAATTGGTCCAGAAGGGAGGAATTGTAAGACATCGAGAGCATCACAGTCAGATACAGCTGTGAAATATAGAGCCTCGCCTGCAAAAGCTGCTCAGCTTGAGAGGCAAATCTCATCAGCAAGTGAGGAATCATCTTCGACTAGTGAGGAGGAACAACCAGCGGTGGAAAGGAGTCGGACTCTTATAAGATCTGCATCACCAAGGAGGTCTGCATCTCCAATGCGAAGAGTCCAAATTGGGCGCTCTGGATCACGAAGATCCACTGCTTTAACAATAAAGAGTCTGAATTTCGTTCCTGCCAGGGAAAGGTCATTCTCTCATAAAGATGAATCTGCAAGCGATAATGATGATGGGGAAGAATGTGAGAAAACCTCAAAAAAATCTGAGAACAATGTACAAAGAATAAGCGTGCAAGATGCAATTAACCTTTTTGAAAGCAAACAGAGAGGTCAAACAGTAGATTTTCAGAAGACAAAGTCATCATTGAATGTCTCCGTTGCTAATAAAGCGGTATTGAGAAGATGGAGTTCAGGGGTGTGTGAACATGCTAACCCTGTAAATGTTGCTTCTCGTGATCCAGTAGCTTCCTTAGCTGCCAATAAATTGGAAGATCATGAAATCGAGAGTGCTTCAGAAATGAATCCAGAGTCTCATCCAACTCCAGAAAGCTATCATGCTGAGGCTGCTGACAATGATTGCAAACCAAACACACCTCAAGAAAGAGCATCTAGTCCTGAGGAAAAGAGAGAGGAGTCTCTCCCTAACCAGTGTGAAGAAACAAGTGAGAAATTAAACGCCTCAGTTGAATGGACTCGGAAAAAGGAAGCAGAACTAAACCAATTGCTGATGAAAATGATGGAAACCAAGCGTACCAAATATCAGAACCTGGCGCCTAGTGATAGCAAACTCCAACGTCTTTCCAACAAGTGTAGAGGTGGTTTCTATGATCATTACAAAGAAAAGAGGGATGAGAAACTTCGTGGTGAAACTACCAGGAAGCAAGGAGAGAAGGAAAAGCAAATTAAAGCACTACAGCAAAATCTTGATGAGAGAAAAGCGGAGATGGTCTCAAGAAATGCAACTAATGATAATAAAAAATCAAGTATAAAGAGAACACAGAAAGCAGTGAAGAACTTGTCTGAACCTGCCAATCCCAAAAGTGGAACTCCTAAATCTGCAGTCGTAAAGAAAGTTCCATCGAAACCTTCAACGTTGCCAGCAACCCGCAAGTCATGGTCATCTGCACCTTCACCAAGAGCTGCAGGGATATCATCTGCTAAAAGTCCTTGTCCTACACCTACCCGCAGAATATCACAGCCGGTGCCAACTGCTACAAAGGTTGAGAGATTACAACCAAAGACCGTGAGAGAAACACAGCATTATACCAAAAAGAGCGTTAAAGGTGTAAGTGAAAAGAAGTTAGAAACTGTGACAAAAACTAGCAAACCTAGAAGATCCAAAGTTCAGCCTGCTTCTGAAGATTCTGCTTCCTCAGCGAAACCTAAGCTCAGCAAGGTGACAAAGAGAAGTAGCGTGGTGCCTCTGGAATCAAAGGAGCCAAAGCCTTTTCTTCGTAAGGGCTCAGGCACTGGGTCTGGTCTTAGTCCAGTGACAAAGGTTAAAGTTTCATCTCAGCCTGAAGAGTGTGTGGCGGACACTGTAGATTTAGTTCAAATGGAAGAGGAAGAGATGGCTTCTGTTTCATTTGATCCTGTTAATCAACTGCAGGATAGGGGTCTTGAAGATTTAGAAGTCCATGAAGATAAAGACTCTGAAGCTCAGGCAAAACCCCCCCAGATATGTGAAAACACAGAAAGGTTTGATAAGGTTACTCCAAATGACACGGATGATTTTGGACAGATTGAAGATTCTACAACAAAAACAAAGGTTGAAGGAGAACCAAACATCTCACGTAGTGCCTGGGTGGAAATAAAGGAACACGAGGATCAGTCAATTCCAAGTAATGGTGATTTCTGTAATAATGGATCTCTGGATGATGTTGTACCTGTAAGAGTCTCAAGTCCACGAGTTTGTCATTCTCTTTCTCAAATGCTGCTCGAAGACAACAGTGAAACTGACGTTATTGACTGGGGTAGTGCTGAGAATCCTCCAACCATGGTCTATCAGAACGATGCGCCTAAAGGTTTTAAGCGTCTTCTGAAGTTTGCTCGGAAGAGTAAGAACGATGCAAATTCAACTGGTTTTTCAAGCCCCTCTGTATTTTCTAAAGGAGAGGATGACTCAGAGGATTCTAAAATTCTCACTAAGAGAAGTTCTGACAATCTAGTTAAGAAGGCTACACTTCATGCAAAAAATGCTGGGCAACAGAAGTCGTCATCATCTGAAGTCTACGAGCTATCTGGTATTTTGTTCTTGCTTCACATCAATTGGTTTTTCAAGGCCCTCTGTCTTTTCTAATTGACTGTTAATTTTAATCATTGCACATATGCAAGTGTTAAAATGCTGTCAGATGGACTGTGGTTCATTTGTTATGTATTTTTTGTGCATTATCCTAATTTGATAAACCTAAATGAACATTATTGTTTGCAGCACCAAATGGTATAGGCAGATTTTCTGCTCAGAAATTGCAAGAAAGCCATATCTCAGTTTCAGTGACTACAACAAAAGGTTACAACTTTTTTCTATTCCAGTTTGACTTACTTTATTTGCCATAATATTCTGGTGCTTTATGTTTCAGCAACAAGATCATTCTTCTCTCTTTCAGCATTCAAGGGGAGCAAACACAATGATGCCAAACTTCGATGAGATAAATAATGCGATTAAAAGTTGAAACTTGTAATGTGTTGCTTCTGAACATGGATCAGGGCGCTAGTTTCTTTAGCTTTTTCTATTTTAACAATAATTTTTTTTATTTAAAAATTTGCCTTTCTGGATCCGCAGCACACCTAGAGATTACTTAAGTTACTTGTAAGAGTCTCTTGTTTATATTGCGAAAAAAATATTACTTAAAATTTCCAGATTACTATTTTTCATTTAAATTACGCTTGGTTGTAGCTTAAAACAGATTCAGCAAGCTCATTGTCTTGGTTCAACGTAATATTAGACTTCTAATTCTAATATATTTCTAATGCTTTTAATAAGAATATAACTCTGGGTGTGGCTTTTGAAAAAGATGAGATTTTTTATCTTATTGCTATGGTAATCTAGACGAGTAGCCAAAAGAAGTTACAAGTCCAAGTGAAGTCAAAACTAAATTCAACTCGATTTGATTAAGATTTAACTAGAACGAAGAGTTAACCTAATCTATTTTAGTTTTGAAAATTGGTCAAGTTGCGAATTAATAAGACTAAGTATCAAATAGAAGAACACTTGTATTAAGCATCGCAGTTCAGTTACGCACTATACACTGAGTTCAGCTCGGTTGCAATTTTGCTGGCTTGAGGCTTCTATAACAAGTTTGTTACCTACTATGATGCCAGTCCAAGCAGGACTTTTATCCACTTTTGTGGCTTATATTTAAAAAAATTACAAACCTAGCCACTGTTGGCACACAACTTGCGTGCATCATCTTCTTCTTCTTCTCAAACTGAAGTTCAGTTCAGTATTTGTATCAACTTAAAACCTCTGTTAGATTATGATTAAAGTTGCACTAATTACATATAATATACATAATTAGTGTATATGTTGTGTATATTGGATAACGGCTGTAATTATATCTGATTGACGGTCAAATATGTGAAAATCCCTTTATTTTTGGGTTAAATTCATAACTGACCTTGGAAGAAGCCAAAAGTCAAAAATTTTGCCGATAGAACAAAACTTGTTAAACTTAAAATTTTGCCTATTCGTCAAGTGGAGGAGAAATTCAAAAATAGCCAGATCAAAATAGCCCAGTTTCAAAAAAGCAATAGAAATTTAGGCACTTTTCATGTAAAGATAAATCTGAGCGAAAACACTGTTCAAAACCCGAAAAATATTATGCTGTATATTATGCTGGAGTTCCAGCATAAGTATACTTGAACTCTAGCATATTATACTGGAGTTCCAGGATAAGTATGTTGGAACTCCAGCATAATATGATGGAGTTCCAGCATAAGTACAATAGAACTCCAACATAATATACTGGAGTTCTAGCAAAGTATATCGATCCAGTATAATATGTTGGAAGTTCATAGACAAGTGCTCGAATCTCCAGTATATTATGCTGGAACTTTCCGTGTGTTGAGTTCCAGCATAATATGCTGAAAGTTCATACACCGGTGCACCGAACTCCAGTATATTATGCTGGACCGGTCTCTGTTGCAGCAAAATAATGGCTATTTTTCATTGACTTGGTAAATACTGGCTATTTTTGAATGACTAGTCCGAAAACTGGCTAGACCGTGCTATTTTTACTCAAGTGGCTGCTCACTAAGATCAGAGAGACATTTGTGAACTTAACCTGTCTAAATGGCCGATCTCAACTTGGGCCTATGATATGATCCAGCCCATAGCCCTTTACACTTCCCCATTTTATACAAACTACCAGCTAAAACCGGTAAATTCCACTACCAGGTTCCTCCTTCCCAATCTCCGACCGGATTCTGCAATCGCGGCCAATCTTCATCTCCGCTTCCTAATCTGCCGATGCTTCGACACGGTTCACGATTCCTATCTCGGGCCACCACGATGAGGTGGCGCCGCCCATTTTCGACCAACCTGGCGGCGGACGCCCCTGTAGATTCCAACTTCCTGGAGTCATGGAGGAAAGCAATTCCCAACGTGGAACCACCAAAGACTCCATCTGCGTTCATGGCCACTAGGCCCGAAACTCCATCATCCATTCCCTCAAAGCTTACAGTCAACTTCGTCCTTCCTTACTCTTCTGAACTCTCCGGTAAAGAGGTTGACTCCTAATTCCCTTTTAAATATTTCCAATTTTTCTGTGGAAGTTGACTCCTAATTTGAGAATTAATTAATATAGAGGATTTATATAGCTGACTAATATAGGATTGAGATTTAGTTGATTGATAGATGGATTAGTGTTGGTTCTCCCTACGGAACTGTGAAACACTAATACTGATGTCAGGAGATTTTTTATTTCAATACATATTTAACTTTTAGCTTTTTCTTACGATTGTTTTGGATTATTTTATCTGTTTCCCTTGATTATTTGGACTACGACAGAGCTTAAATCTTACTTATCAATAGTCCTTTTCTATTTTTTGCTCTGATCAAAATCTATTCTTTCATCCCTACCATGTTATGAAATAGAAATGTGGATTGGTAGTCTTTACTATTTTGGAGCTAAAGAGATGATCATAGCTTAAAGTTACGTAATTAGAAATGAGATTCCTTGGATAGGTTGGCTTAGCTACTGATGCAGTAATAACATAGACAGCAGTCATAGCATTTTTTTGAAGTGTAATTTCCATAGTTTCTAACACTGTTAGGTCTCTTTGCATGCTAGATTCGATCTTTTTTTTTGTCCTCGTTCTGTCTTTTGTGTCTTTCTTTTTCTTTCTTTTTGCCTACCCCTTGATCTCCTTTCTTTATTTGGGTATGAGGTTATATTCTAGACTGCTGTTCACGCTTAGGGAGCTGAGCGAGGTAGCAAAGAGAGAATAGATTAGATGACAGAGACGTATAACCTTTAGTGCAATCAATATAAACAATGCATGATCAGTTATTTTATATACTCTTAAGTAATGTTTTTTTATGCTGATGGCTGAGTTTCATTGCTATTGGTGTTTTAAATTCAATGCTCAGCACTAAATGTAAACTATTTTTGCATTTCAGTACATAATTTTTAAGTCATAAAACTTGTATGCCGTCGCACTTCATGCGACTTTTTTTTGGGTCCCAAAATGTTAACGATGTGACAATAATTGATATTTTATACAACTTTTGAAGAATTCAAGTTCATTAAACTATTCAAGTTTTAAGCTTTGTTGTAATGCATCTCTATTAAACTAAATTTTCAACTGCTACCTCAATACTTTTTTTTTATGAGAAGGTGACATATTCCAGTATGTTGATGACCTTCAGTACAAAGCTTGTGCTGGGAGTCAGAAAGGATGTTTACTGGAAAGACTTGTAGAGTCGATTCTAAATCATCACTGTGGTCTGCTTTACACCAAAACAACAACAACAACAACCCAGTAGAATCTCACTAGTGGGCAGTGTTCTCATAGGTACGCTTAAGCCCTGAAGCGAGGCTCAAAACATGTTGAGCGCTTTGCCTTGCTTTGTGGGCGCTTTAGTGTCGCATCAAGGCTCTAAAGCATACTTTTCTTTGCCAATGAGTGTAACCCTGAAAAGGCGACATTAAACAATTGATATTTCACTTTTTCGTAATTTTTTTTAAATTTCTTTGTCCATATATTTGTTATCATGCTTATAATTATCAGTCTTGGACTACATATACATATTATTACTTTTTCTCCAATTGCGCTTTTTTTCATTAAAGCCCGCGCTTTATTTGCGCTTTGCGCTTAAAGTCCCAACGGACCTTAGAGCTTTTTTGCGTTTTTCGCCTTTGATAGCACTGCTAGTGGGGTCTAGGGACGATAGAGTGTACGCAGACCTTACCCCTACCCGGGTGTAGAGAGGCTGTCTCCGGGAGACCCTCAGCTCAGAGACAAAAGATCCGTAACAACAACAGAAACCAGAAAATATATCAGCACCGTAAGAGACAAGCACATAAATGGAAGGGCAATAATAGTGATGATAATAATAATAATATATATAATAATAAAAAAAAGGTGAAACACAACAAAAACCGCTAGCAATCTTAGACAAAACTCGCTCGACTACCCCCTACCCTACAACCCTAATGCTCGACCCCACACCTTCCTATCAAAGGCCATGTCCTCGGATATCTGAAGTCGCGCCATGTCCTGCCTGATCACCTCGCCCCTATACTTCTTAGGCCAAAAACAAAAAGAAGAATTGTATTCTTCTTGATCTTCTGAAATATTATGTCTACTATCACTAATATAATACATTAAGTCAAATTTATATCTTAAATTTTGTTGCTTATTCAAACCTTGTCACTTAAAATGGAATGAAGTACTAAGCATCTACGTTGAAGATCAAGTAGCTCATGATTTAGAGACATCACATTAATTCAATTTTCTTTAGAAAAGCTTAACATGGTCGTAATTATGAAGATCCTTGAATTCGTTTGAGGATTCTTGGGATAGCTAAGTTCTGTTACCATTTCACAATTCTGAATTGTTTCTTACTTCACATTTGGTGAATTGGCTGTGACAGAAATACAAGCTATATAACCCTCAGGGGTTGGCCTGGTGGCAATAGACTTGAGCCTTGGGGTTTGCTCCCTTTCAAGGTCTCAAGTTCGAAACCCACTGGGTGCAAACAATTTCTGAGGGCCATCGGACTGGGTAAAACCTGAATTAACCATGGTGCACTTGCGGGAAACTCCTTGCCGAGGGCCTGTGCACCCCCGGGATTAGTCGGGTCTCTTAGAGACTCGGACACCCGGTGCAAATCAAAAAAAAAAAAAAAGAAATACAAGCTATATATCGACTAAGATAAATCACTAAAACATACGATAAGATCACGATCTTATCTATTAAAGGCGAATAGATAAGGATCATGGAGTCAATGCTTAATTTACTGAGCATACCTCTTGTTTTTCAGCTGGGCACTTGCTCACGAGTTTTTCGAAATATTTCTCCCTTCCCCTTTCACTCTGTCCATACTTTCACCAACCATAGCTTGGCGTGACAATTTAGGGAAGCTTGGAGTATGAGTTCTGTTCCGTAATGCTGTTGACTGCTTCTTTGGTCACTAAAAACATCTAATTATACTTCCTCTATCATAAATATTTAATACCTTCAAATTTCAAGCTCACGGTATATCTTACATCTTACTGCTAAAAATAATGGAGTTTCAGCAAACATTTTACAGATTTGGCCGGAAAATAGACAGTTGAAACGAACAGTCATTGAGTCTAAATAAGAAATGTAAAGAAATAATGTTAGAACTCCATTATTCTGTCTTGCATTAGTAGTATCT